GCATCGCTTCTAGTAACAAGTGCCTTACTACTAGTAACAAGAAGCTAGTAGGAACAAAGGGCATCGCTACAGAGATCGGTAAATTGGGATGCTAGAATTCCATCTGCACCGCCGCGCACTGGATGAATAGTTAGAAGGATCTACTAGCAATAGCATCCAACCTACTAGCGATGGGCTCCACCCTAGTATTTATTGTGCTCTTTCGTATGTTATTCCTTTATTTTCGTTCAACCTGCTTTCTGTTGTTCGTCTCTTGCCTTTATAAGCGACGGTCTAGTGCAAGTGATATGAGAGGAGAAAGCCAAGTTCTGTAGCTGTTGACGTGCGGCTGGCTGGAACTAGAATGTACAAGCAGAGCAGCCATCCTCCACACAGTCCGCCAACGCTGCTCATTCTTACGGATGCACAGCCAGCTCATTCTTGATTGAAGTGGAAACGGCTATTGCTATCTGGGAACACTATGTAGATAGAGCGATTCCGCCGTTAGTTGGTTGCTCGCTTCCCTGCTTGGTTGCTTGCTTGATTGGTTAACAGCCCATTCAAGAAAACGGAGGGGAAGATGAAAGAGTGGGGAGCCGGTTCCTGCAGCGTCCTTGCTCCTAGTAGTAAGGCCAGGAGTCCCTAGTAGCATCCTTGCTCCTAGTAGCAAGAATGCTACTAGTAGTGGCGCAAAACAAGGAAGCAAAGCACAAAGGAATGCCTCCCCACTCTGCATGACTTCCGACTCAAAGGCTCCAGCCTGGCCGGAAAAAAGAAATTGGACACCAAGCCTACGAGCAATGGCCTCCAAACATGAAAAAAATCGGAAGACTATCACCTCTTTTTCCTTCTTTTTTCTGAAACTCCCAGAAACTAGACGACGCGCAGTTCTTCAAAGACGTCTTTTCCTTGCCGCCCCCTTTGAGCACAAATGAGCGCCAAAGTTCTCGTTTCCAACAGTTGTTCGTTCGTGCGTTTAAAAAAACCCTGCAAAACGGAACTGTTCAACTGGGAAATGAATGCAATGCAAGTTTTCAAAAGAAATGAGCCGAGTTTCTCATATGAAAGTGTCAAGCATTGTGAAGATCTTTTCGAAATTCAAGCAACCGTAACCCGTCCTTTTTTTAGTGTCTTTTATTGGTAGTGTCGCATAGTTTCGCTCGTTAAAATTGTTGCTAGCAGAATCAAGTGAGTCGTTCTGTCTCCTGAGATGAGCTTCGTTTCAAAAAAAACATGAAATTTTTGCACCAAGAAGTGTTCCTATAAACTATAGCAACCATCTCTTTGTATCACGGTCACATCCCAAATGTCGAGGAACTCAATCTTCGATTCCACTAAAAAAAAATGCTTGAAGAAGTAACAAATTCCACCTTTAGCTATCAATTCTGAAATTGAGGAAAGAAATATTGCAAGTTTGTAGTCAATCGTCCAACCGGACGAATCCCTTGCCCTCCCATCAGCGTCGCAAGAACCAAACGAACGAAGCCAAAAATCGAAGGGGTCAAAAGGAAAAACAAAGCCTTTGAAGATGTTCCAAAAAGAATCACCAAAGCCAAAAGATTGAAATGCTAAAATGACGCAACACATCGCAACACTCCAAAAGCTTCAACCCCCAAAACCGTTGGTATTTGAACGGAGTTTTGCATCGGTTCCAAGTTCACACCTGTCAAGGTGCCAGGTTCCAGGTTCCACCAATGAAGGACGCGAAGAAAACGCAGAAAAGAACGACACGACGCGACACCCCGACACCGGATAAAGTGCGGCGCGATGACCGGAACTGTTCTTGTTGGGCAACAAATTCATATTATCTAAATAGGTGGTATGGAACACTAAGTCAAAAACGGTCGAAGAGTTGTCAGGAGCAAGGGCATCGCCACTAGGGGCTCCTGGCCTTACTGCTAGGAACAAGAACGCTGCTAGGGGCTCCTGAAAGCTACAGGTTGTCGAGTCGAAATGGTTCGTGAAATGCCTCCAGGAGCCGCTTGACGAGAGCCACATTTCCCTGCGACGACAGACGTGACACATATGAGGGCATGGCCTCCAACCTACTAGCGATGGCCCTAGTAGCGTCCGATCGCTCCTAGTAGCAAGGCCAGGAGCCACTAATAGCTTCTTGTTACTACTAGCGATGCACCTTGTTACTACTAGCGATGGCCTCCCTCGTGAATCAGTTGGCAGTTGGTCAAGCATCTCGTGAACTTTTTCTGAACGCTTCGAAAGCGAAGCCATCACCTTCTTCAAAGCCATCATCAAAGGCGTACGGCCAAGCCTAAAAAGACAAACGAGTCTAAGGCAGGTATAACAGGGTCGCTGTTGGCCAATGTGAATGCTTTCCAACATCGACATCACACATCTCAACTAAGAGACCATCGCTTCTAGTAACAAAGGGCATCGCTACTAGGAGCAAGGACGCTACTAGTAGCTCCTGGCCTTACTACTAGTAACAAGAAGCTACTAGGGACTCCAGGCATCGCTATTAGTAACAAGAAGCTGGATGCACTCTTTTCAACCAGATTCATAGCGTTTTGGTCTCGAAGTAGAGACCATCTCAACTAAGAGACCGGCACATCTCTTCGCCCAACATCCGCACGCGCCTTCCGCAACGGAAACGACGGAGGAAGTTCGATGGGACGCGTTCGCGTAGCCATGCATAGAAGCATAGCATAGCCCGGCGCTTGGCACTTCGGTTCTCTGAGAGCGTTTGAAAGCGTGGTACGCCGGTGTAGAATGTGTTCTTGTCAAAATATGTTAATTTTTTTTCAAATATTCAATTGATTCCATGTCCAGAATCTGTTGTTTCTTTCTTATCAGTTGGAGGCCATCGCTAGTAGGTCGGAGGCCGCTCTTAGGTTGGAGGCCATTGCTTCTTGTTCGCTCCTCAATGACCAAGGCCACCATGGGGGAGGAGCCGCTCTCCACAGCCGAATGGATGGCACACAGCCCTACGCCACACATCCGAAAGAATGATTCACTTTGGATCGAGAAAAGAAGCTACTAGTAACAAAGGGCATCGCTACTAGGAGCAAGGACGCTACTAGGGGCTCCTGGCATTACTACAAGGAACAAGAGGCTACTAGTAGCTAGAAGCTTCCTTGGGAATGTAGGGCAACTCAAGGTAACTCAAGATAACTCATTACGGGGAAAGTTGAAAGCTCCGAAGCCAATGGCATCTTGCACCTTTGGAAATGCGTCACATGCGTCACCTTTGTTTGCCCCCGCTCGACTATATAGACTTTTGCACCTTCGACTGGAGAATGAAGAAGCTCGTCATCTAGCAACTTGAAAGCCTCACAGGATATGCAGGCCAGCATGCCACCATGGCACAAAGATCTCGCCAGAGATCTCGCCTTGGCAAAGTCCTTTCGCAAAATCACCTGGATTCAGCTGAAGAGTGTTCGGTCCGGAGCCCGGTGGAGCATCGGAAGAAAAGGAAAAACTGAAGCCAAAGGGGCCTCCAACCGATGCCAGGAGCCCCGTTCGTAGCTTCTTGTTACTAGTAGTACGGCCAGGAGCCCCGAACGTAGCGTCCTTAGTAGCGTCCCTTGCTCCTAGTAGTAAGGCCAGAAGCACCTAAAAAGTAAAAATAAAAGTCCGAATGGTCTGAAAGACTCAATGACAGATTTTCAAAACAAAGCCATCCTCGCGGAGCTGTGCAGCTGGAGCTCTGACTCGGAAGAATGACGGAACAAAAGGAATCCACGTGTGAATCCACCCTAATAGCGATGACCTCCAACCTACAAGGGATGGCCTCAAAACCTAGTAGCGATGGCCTCCAACCTTGTGAATCCATAAGAAATACAAGTGACATAGAATTATTTTACGTCTGAAAACTACATACGGCATTTTACGCAAGGAATGCCAACTTGCTTCCATGTTGCTAGCAACTGAACTCGCTCCTAGTAACAAGTGCATCGCTCCTAGTAACAAGTGCCTTACTAGTAGTAACAAGAAGCTATTAGGAACAAGTGC